TCTGCCAGTTCCCAGCTGTGCCACGTCAGGCACAGACCACCCCCCTCTGGCCTCAGTCTGGCCCATCTCTGTCTAGTGCCTGGCCCTGCTCCAAGGGCAGGTGTCCTTCCTGGCTGCCCATGCCTTCCACATGTGCCCTCTGCCCTAGGTGGACGGAGGCCCAGTGAAGACCGTGGTTCAGCGGGTGCGGCCTTGCTCCCTGGACAGAGCCACGCAGAAGCTCATTGAGAACATCTTCAGCAAGGATATGTTCGATGATGCCATGGCCAGCATGAACCTGGGTGAGGAGAGAGGGGCCAGGCAAGGTGGCCAGGGCCCAGGGCCGGCAGATGCTCAGTCTCCACTCTCTCCCCAACTCCCCAGGTGTGAAGAAGATGCCCCTGGAAAAATTCAGCAAGAAGCAGATTGCCCGGGGCTTCGAGGCCTTGGAGGCACTGGAGGTGGCCCTGAAAGCCCCCACAGATGGTGGCCGCAGCCTGGAGGAGCTGTCTTCCCACTTCTACACTGTGATTCCCCACAACTTTGGCCGCAACCGGCCCCCACCCATCGACTCCCCCGAGCTTCTTCAGGCTAAGAAGGACATGCTGCTGGTGAGGGCTGGCAGGTGGGCAGGCATTGGGGGTATCAAACAGACAGACTGCGCAAGGGAGATGGGGGAGAGATGGCAAGAAGGCCCAGGGAGATGGACTGCGATGGGCAGGCCAAAGGATGGGAGGAGAAGGCCTGGCAGATAGATGAGGTAAGGGTGAACAGGTGGACAGACAAGTGGGGAGGCCATGGTCACGGTCATGTGGGAAGGAGAGGGGAGCCCAGAAGTCAAGTGGACAGACAAGCTGCCAGTGCCCATCACCTTAGGTGCTGGCCGACATCGAGCTGGCCCAGACCCTGCAGGCAGCTCCCGAGGAGGAGGAGAAGGTGGAGGAGGCGCCACACCCACTGGACCGAAATTACCAGCTCCTCAAGTGCCAGCTCCAGCTGCTGGACCCAGAGGCGCCAGAATACAAGGTAGGCTGGGACCCCAGAGGAGCCGAGCTAACAGTGAGCTTCTGCCCATCTGCCCTCCAGATGCCCAGAGGAGTCCCTCACCCTTGGCCTTCTGTCCCTGTATGTCCCGAGCTGAGGAGCGCTCTGGGACTAGGGGGACCAACATGGGCTCATCCACACGTCTCTCGCCCTCGGCCCCAGCTTCTACTTCCCCCCGCAGGTGATCCGCACCTACTTAGAACAGACTGGCAAGGATGACGGGTGCCCTGCTCTTCAACATGTTTGGACAGTGAACCGAAAAGGGGAGGTGAGGCAGAGTCCCCCACCCATCACTGCCCTCCTGTCACTGCCCTGACTCTTAGGGAGGTGACTGTGGCTTAGCTGCCCTTTAGTGAATTCCCTTAGCATTGACCAGTTTCCACCAGGCCCAGGTCTTGTGTGTGTGTGTGTGTGTGTGTGTGTGTGTGTGTGTGTGTGTGTGTG